AAAGGGACCAGATAAATAGCTCAGAGGGAGACTAAGATTTCCAGTTCTCACAAAGCAGTAATGGCCAGAGCTACAGAATTACACCTAGGCTGCCCCTATATGTGATGTACAGAACTAGAAAAAACCTTGTGGGTCATCTAGCCCAACCTCCCTCCATTTTATTGAGGGGGAAACTGAGGCACAAAGATGTTATGTGACTTGTCCAATATCCACCAGCATGGATATGGTATCTGAGCCTCTATCCCTGTCTTGAAATCCAGTGTCCTCATTATACCAGTGAATGCAGCCCAATTTTTAGGAAACTGCCCTCTGTCCATCCTAAGAAGAAGGGAGAAAGTAGTCAGACATCTCATTCCAGGTCTTACTAACATTTGCTTTCTGTTTGAGGTAAGGAAAACACTAAGAAAGGCAGGGAAGTGAGAGGAGAAAAGCATCAGTTTAGAGGTGAAGAAGTCTGGGGTCCCGTACTGGTTCACCTAGTAACAAATTCTCTGACCTTGACTGAGTTGATAAGGCTCTTCTAGATTCAGTTTCTTCCTCTTTAAAGGGAGGGGGTTCTATCAACATGTCAGAGACAAACAAAGACAGAACCAGTCAATGATGGAGAGACTGTGGAAAAGCAGGCACACTAATACCCTGTTGGTAGAGCTATAAACTTGCCCAACCAGTTCATGGAATAATTTAGAACTCTTTGAGAACTCAATGAACTATTCATACCATTTAACCCAAGGACTATACTATCAGACATAGTCCTCAGAGAAGTCAAAGCCAGAAAGGAGAGTTCCACAGACACAAAAACATTTGCAGCAACATTTGGGGGACAGTAAAAAAAAAAAAACTAGAAACAAAGTGGGTACATTTGAATTGGGGGATGATGATATTTATGCTGCTTAAATTGAAATTTTATTTAATTGAAATTATGGTACAAAAAAATGAAGTGAGAAGAATCAGAACAATTTCTGCACTAAACAGTATCGTAAAGAAAGAGTTAGCTGCTCTGATGAACACAATAACCAACCATAATTCCAAATGACTCACAATGGAACATGCTATCTACCTCCAGACAGAGAACTAATGAACTCAGAAAGCAGACTGAAGCATATTTTCTCCTATTTTCTTTTCTTTGTTTCTTGGAATATGGCTAGTGAAGAAATTTGTGTTGCATATCTATACATATTTGTAATGGGTTTTATTTTCCTTCCCTTCTCAATGAGTAGGGGAGGATAAAAAGACAGGAGAAAATTTGGAACTGAAAACAAGAGAAAATTGAATTTAAAAAACAAATTATGCTACATGAATGTAATAGAATAGGACTGCTCCCTAAGAAATGATGAACGCAGAGAAGCATGAGAAGATTTCCATGAACTGATGCAAAGTAAAGTAAATATAGCCAGGAAAACAACATATACAATGACTATAAGTGGAAAGAGCTACCACAATAAAGCAATGGACACTTCCATGAAAATATAATAACCGAGTTTGGCCCCAAAGAAGAGAGATGGGAAGGCACCTCCCTAACTTTTTGCAGAGCTAGGGGACTATGGGTATCGGAATGGTATACATAATGTCAGACTTTTGGGATCTGTTGGTTCATTTTTTTCTGAACTCTTTATTTTCTCTCTACATTCCTTATTATAAGTGATGAGAGACAGCATGGCCTCGTGAATAGATAACCAGCCTCAAAGCCAGGAAGACCTGAGTTCAAGTTCTAAGTCTGATACATGACTAGCCATGTCATTTCATTTCCAAGAACTCTGGGTTACTTTCTAAAGACTATAAATTTCAGATAATATGTTATTGGTAGAGTGAGCTTCTTCATCTAGGTATGCCAATGAAATCACAGTCCACCCTACCCCAGTCTATATTCAATAAAGAATAGCTCTCTACAAGCAGAAGGTGATAGGGGGTGCAGTATATTGAGATGTGTAGGTGACATAAAAACAAAAGAGTGATAATAAGTATTTTAAGAAAAAATAATGAATTTAAGAAATAATATGGGCGGGCCCGACAAACCCATGCAGAGTGAAACCATCAGAACCTGGAGAACAATAGACACAGTGGTCATAATGATGTGCACAGAAACAACCCTGATTAATTGTAAGGACCAATCTCAGCCCAGAAGAGATGATGAAGCACATCTCTCTAGGCAGAGAGACACAGCATTCTGAAACCTAGTGAGGAATGCTGCCTAAACTGTCAGATTTGATCTCTGCATTGGTTGCTGGCTTCAGGTAAGTTTTTCTTTGTCATAAGGAAAGTTAGATGGAGGGAGCAGGCAGACAGATGTATTGGAAAATGATTCCACTGTTAAGAAAAAAAAATCCATAAAAATATTTTAAATAAAATAAAATAAGGGAAGAAATAGGCCTTCCACTTTCTGATAGAGATGGAATGGACTCAAAGAGAAGATTAAAACATAGTTTTGTGGACATGGTCAATAGAAGAATTGGTTTTGCTTGGTGCTATATATGTAATATGTAATAACCCTCTGAGGTCCTTCAAGGCCAAAATCTCCTAGTCTTCAAACTAAATAACCATACACCTTGTAAAGATACCCTGTATTGTCCTACCTTCTTCTCCCAAGAGTCTCTGGGCCTATGATGATCCTGGCTCCAGAAAGTTCCTGAGATCTCCAAGTCACAGAGGCTCAGAGGTCATCTCTCAGCCCACACAGTAGCCCCCTTTCTCATTTGCCTGGCTGGTGGTCTTTCAATGTCTACAGGATCCCAACCCCGGATGGGAAATATTAGAGCTCTTGACCTTCTTCTTGGGGACAGGGTATAGGCCAGGGGGGAAACCTGCAGCCTCAAGGCCACATGTGGCCTCCTAGGTCCTCGGATGCAGCCTTTTGACCAAGTCCAGGTTTTACAGAACAAATCCTTTTATTGAGGGGATTTGTTCTTTGGAATTTGGATTCAGTCAAAGGGCCACACTCAAGGGCCTAGACAGCCTCCTATGGCCTTGAGGCCAAAGGTTCCCCACCCCTGGTCTAGACAGTGTCTAGAGCTGACAAGCATGCCTCTCCCACTGGGATTCGGGGAGGGTAATTGAGGAAGAAGACTCCAAGTGACCTGCTTAAGGGCACCAAATCAAGAAAGGAGCCGAGGCAGGCCCAGGAATCTCATCTCCAGTTTTCCTCTTCCTGTGCTGTAGCGTCCACATGAAACTGGGAAGAGAGCCAGGGTTATGATTTTAGGCCCAGAATTCAGCAGAGTGAAGGGTGCTCTCCCTTTAGTCTAAACAAGGCCCACACTAACTGTGATCTCAAGATTCCACTGCTGGGCCAGACTGGAAACCCAATTGCTGAATCTTAGAGAACCGGAAGGGACCTTGGCAGCTGTCAAGTGTCCGACCCATATGGAAAAGTATCCCCACTCTAACACACCCAGCCCGCGATCTAGCCTCCACTCACAGCACTCCAGGGTAGATTACACTTGCTCTCTGGGAAGCCTTTCCCACTCTTGGACAATTTGACTTCGTCCAAAGTTTTTTCTGGATAATGAGCCTAAATTTGAATCTTGGCAATTCCCCTCTGTTTTTCCTAGCTGTGCCCTCTGGAGCCAAACTGAACATGCCTGATCCCTCCTGCATCAGACTGACAGGTCTTCAAATGCTTCTGAATAGCAATCCTGTCTCCCAAAGCCTTCTCTTCAAGGAAAACCCCTCCAAAGGCAGTATAACAGCTGATAGCAGTGAAACTCAACCCACGAACCTGACAAAGACTGGATTTACAGCAAGGGGTCCATTTCATGAAAATGAAGAAAGGTAATAAATTAGCCAACCAACCTTCTCCAGACTGCATGTGTCTCATTCATTACTGTGGTAAGGCTCTAGACCTGTTTGCACTGATATGGGGAAATTCTTATATGGGAAACTCCCTCCACAGATGCAAATCAGTAGCTCTGCTCTAACTTTCAGTATTAGTACTAGAATATTATGTGTGACTGTCTTTTAAAAATATATAGAGCTGCTGTGTTTAAGAGGGATGGGGACTGGATCTGAGATTTCACTGGTTTAGAGAACTGGTTTGTTCTGCAACTTTTCATCTTAGAGAATTGCTTTTGTGGCAATGAGATGTGAAGTGATTTGCCCAAGGGCACATAGCTAGTATATTTCAGAGGTAGGACTTGAACCTAGGTCTTCCTGTTTCCCAGTCTAGCTCTCTATTAGACCAAGCTGTCTCACATGTAGTGATTAAAATACAAATTCATTCCTAAGTGTTCCTGAATTCATATTTGCTTTTTATCAACTCAATCAATATGCTAACAGTAACACAACTCTCATGTGAAATGTGGGGGAGTTTTGTTAAGGGGTCCTATTTCTTGCAAAGGCTGAGAATTTCTGATCTAAAGAATGAAAAAGGACTGGGAGATGGGGAACAGGAAATGGGTTTTCCTCAGGATTTTACAGTCTCAGAAGGATGATTTTGTTTGTCTTTGCTGGTTTCCTTAGCTCTATTTCCCATGTTACAAAAATGCAAAATACAAAAGATGGCAAGTTGTCCTCCAAGCCTTGGCCCAAAAGAGTCTTTCCCCATTAGAACACGGCACAGAAAGCAGCCCTCACTCAGCTCCGAATCCCAAGAGAAAACAGACCAGATTCGATGGAGAATGGAGTCAGTTCCCTTCCCCTAAACCTCAAGATCAGTTTGGCCTGGCTCCTCTCTGAGCACAGCCACAACCCAACAGCTAACCCCTGAAAAGATAGCCCTTCTACAATGCTACTGGATCCAGTCCCTGTAAGTTGGGAGAGATGTCTGCCATTAACTCTCGACACGTATCACCAGCACTGAAATGAGCACGCAGGGAAGGGAAGCCAGGAGAACATTTGCAGGACTGCTTCCTCCAAGGACCGTCTAGCTGGGATGAAGGCAGCCACCTCCCACTTGTTCAGGCCCCATCAGGCCTCTCGGTACCTACCCAACGACAGTGTCAGGAGATAGAGAACCAACCTTGAACTTCACGAAGGGAGGGAAAAAATCCATTGCAGAAACACCTTTCCTACCTGTCAATGATGACCGGGTCTGAAGGCGTCTCATTGCGGTTCCCGCAGCTCTTCTTCTCACAGCACCGACTGCAGGGAATGAGGAGAAGGAAACAAAAACAGTTCAAATCCACACAATGCGGGAGCCCCTGGCCCTCCCCAGACCAATCCTCAAGCTGCCCTCCAACTCACCCCTAACCTAACTAAATCACAAACAGTCCCTGGGCCTCCAGGGCAGGGCCAAGAGGGATGGACCATGAGGCAAGAGCCCTGGGGTCTAGTCCTGACTCTAGCATGAACCTAAGTGACAGTGGGCAAGTCACTCACTCCCCTTTTCTGAATTTGTCTCTTCTGGTACTGAACTGGAGCCTCTAGCTCTGACATTCTCTGAATCTGGGACTTTATAAGGAGACTGTAAACTCCTAGAGAGTGAGGATGGTGTTATAATTCTGTATACCCCCACAGAGCCTCCTACAAAACTGGACACATAGTACATACTAGAAAGAAGGAAAGGAGGGAGAGATAGAGGAAGGGAGGGAGGGAGGAAGGGAGGGAAAGAGGAAGGAAGGGAGGGAGAAAGGGAGGGAAGGAAGGAAGGAAGGAAGGAAGGAAGGAAGGAAGGAAGGAAGGAAGGAAGGAAGGAAGGAAGGAAGGATCAATGCTAACAGAGGGTGCCAATGGCATGGATAATCCAAAACACTTTAGCTCTAGAATGCTTTATGTACATTTCCAGAGTGACAGACGGCCCCTTTCTAACTGGAGTTAGTTTAGGTTAATACAACAAACAAACAAAAAAAGCAATCTGTAGGAAGGGAGCCGGGGCCACCTTGACTGTGGCAGGGCATGGACAGAAACATGCTGGACGTCAGAGGAAGTTCATTTCCTCTTCAATTTAACAAACATTTTTATCAAGCGTCCACTCTGTACAAGACATCATTGGTGCAGGGTCAGACTTTGTTATGGTTAGTTCAAAAAGAAAATAACATAGAGCCGAAAGTATGAGTGTAAAGCCTTATTCACAAATGTAGGAAAGAACTCAGAGGTCCCTCAAGCCAGGGCAGACATTTGTTTTGTTCAAGTATTCCAGATGAGGAGAGAGTTTGGGGCCTAGAGATAGTATGAAAATGAGGAAAAACTGACTGAAGAACCTTCATAGATTCGTGCCAATTCTTCCCCTCCTTGAACGCTACATCCCAACCAAACCAGCCTGCTTGTTTTGCCCTGAACTGGGCATTCCGATTCCCACCTATAAGACTTGGCAAATGGCTATCTCCAGATCTCCATTCCAGAAATTCAGCACACCTCACCCTCTTAGAATCCTTAGCTTCTTTCAGGGCTCAGCTGCAGTAGCATCTGCTAACCTGCAGGGAGTTTCCTGACCCACTTAGCATCTTCTCCATCATCCTCAAAGTATCATACATCCACTCATACGTCTACAAGTCATACCTCTTAGCTCGGGGTGCTTGGAACACAGGAAGTGCTTAATTTTTTTTTCATTCATCCAATTCATCACCCAAGTAGAACTATAGTTTTTTTTGGGGGGGGTTTAGTTGTTTGGTATCTCTAATGCTTATTATGGTGCTTTCTACATAATAGGAATGCAATAAATATTTGTTGAATTAATAAATTAGATCAGATTGCATTGGACTGGACCTCAGGAGAGCAAAATATACCAGTTCAAGTAACACCTGGAAACTTTAGCCAAATAATCAAAGGAAACTAGATGTGGGAGATAAATTGGAGACCCAATTGCACGAGTATTTAGGAGAACCTCCTATGTTCCAGGTCCTGTAATAAGAGCTGTGGCTACGGAGACATACCCCACCATGCTGTCTGTCCCTTGCTTAAAGAAACTCCAGACTTCTCAAGCTGTCCTGGCTATTTTCAACCACACAGTGTACGTCCCACATTCACGCTGGCCCTGGTGTTTTTACCATATTGGGGAACTGCTCAGGTTTGGCCAGGGATATAATTCTAAAATGGTTGAAATAGAGAAAACTGTTGTCCATACTGGACAAGGGAAAAATTGGCACCATCGATTAGCCAGTGATTGTGAGAGGCCATGTAGGAAAAGGGATGGACATGAATCCAGAAGGCTTTGGGTGAAGTCCTTCCTGACCATGTGCAAGTGCCTTTACTTCTCAAGGCCAGAGCTTCCCCATTTGTAAAATAATAGCTTTGGACTGGATGGCACCTTAGCTCCTTCCAACTATGCATCTATGGTCCAGTTATTCTAAGCGTGATTGTATTTTACAGAGCAGGATAATGAGTCGCAGAGAGAGGTGCCTTGCTCCTGAGCAAACCAACCTCTTCCACTGTGCATATGGCAGTGGCAGCCCCACAGTCTAATCCCCAGGTGACACTGATTTTCAGTGCAATTCTCTATCATCTGTTTACATTCCACCCTGCCTCCCAACCCCCCAGTACTCCACTGACTACCTTGTAGATGTGAATCAAAAACAGATCTACTCCTCCATACCAGGATAGATAGATTTAATGAATGAGGAACCATAATTGTAAAGAGCCCTGCTTGTGAAATATACCAGAGAAAGTCAGGTCAACTCAGTTCAACAAATATGTATTGTCTATTCTGCATGTGCAGGAGACATCACGAGAAATAAGACAAGGCCCTGCCCCCCTGGGCTGAACAAACTGACAGATGCTCTGAACTTTCACTAAATGGGCTCTTGAGAACTTTCACCAAATCAGCTGAAAATAGAAAAGAAAACTCTTCTGAAAAGCCAAATTTAACCACTGGGATTTTTTATAAGATATTTTGCCTATTGCCTTTGAAATTATATCAGGTTTTATTTTTAAATTTTCAATCCAATCCAAGATTAACACTAATAAAAATTCTGGTCAGCTGTTGGTCTATCCATCTGTCTGTCTATCTGTCTGTCTCTCTCTGTGTCTCTCTCATTCTCTTATTTCTCCCATTACTGTAATATTGTTTACATCCTGATAATGTCTTGGCATTGCTCAAGAAGCCTCAGGACTCAAATCTTGCAGCTCTGAGGCCTTCATTCCCTAGGAACTCGGGACTATCCACCTGGATTATCTCAGCTGACATCATCAACATGTCAGCTGACCCCAGAGTGGGCATGACTGCTGAGCTAGCTGCATGGGATTTCAGAAAGAAAACACACACAGAGAGCAATGTCAAAATGGGCCCATCTGCTTAGCTTTATCAGGAGCAAGTCTGAGGAAGACGAGTGAGTTTGCAAAATTCCTCAGCTGAATTCGGTTGCCTTTCCATGGGGATTTCCTCAGGAGGAGAAGAAAAACAGATAAAAATGTAAGTCTGGTGCCAGAGCAGTATAATTGTGGGGGATTGACTTGGGAGAAGTGAATAAAATTCAAACATAAAAGGGTGGGGTCTTTGTACTAGGACCCTGCCAGATTTTCAATATAACAAACTGAATTTTTAAAACCATTTTAGTTTGGTCTTTGTATACCCAGAACCTCTCACAGTGCCTGGCACATAGTAAGTGAATAATGAATGTTTATTGAACTGATATTGAATTAAAGGCCAATCGTGAAAAGAAGTTCCCTGAACTCCTCAAGTGTCCTCGTGAAAGAATAGGATTACTTCTCTGAACCTCTGTTTCCTACTCTGTGAAATGGGAATTATAGTCTTTTGCTTTCCCTACCCCATCCTCATCTCATAGGGTTGTTGCCAGAGAAGGGATTTAGAAACCTTACAGCACTGGCTGAATATGAGTTGTTATTATTAATTTTTCAAAAGATAACAAAATGCCTCCTCCACCAGCTGGGCTTAATCCTGATTGGTTTTGAAAATAAAATCCAGGGGAGGGAGGTGGAGAAAAATTTAAAACTCAAAAGCTTATGGAAGTGATTGTTGATAATTCAAAATAGATTAATTAAAAATTTTTAAAAAAAGAAAAGAAAATCCAGGCCTATTCACCCCTGCCTCTGCAAATCCTTGGATACCTCCTATGTTAAGCCTTTCCTAATTCTGCCCCAGCTTCTGAGAGGCCCAGTGCATAGAGTATCAGGAAGACCTGAGTTCAAATCTGACCTCTTATTAGCTGTATGACCCTGGACAAGTCACTTAACTCTGCCTCAGTTTCCTCATCTGTAAAAATGAGCTGGAAGAGGAAATGACAAACCACTCCAATATCTTTGCCAACAAGTTCCAAATAGGGTCACAAAGGATCAGACTAGCTTGAACAACAACAATTCTTCCCCTCTACCCCATCTCCCACCAAGTATTAGTGTCTCTACCTCCCAAATTACATTATATATTCTCCTGTATGTACATATACCCCTCCCCCATATAATGTAAGTTCCTATAGGACAGGAATCATTTCTTTGTTGTTTTTATCTCCTATACCTGGAACATAATATTGGGGTTTGCAAGAATGTTAATAAATGCTTCTTGGTTGATTATGGCCCTTCAAGCAGAAGCGATAGATCACAGATTCAGTGCCAGAAGGGGAAGGGAATAAGCATTTAAGTGCCTACTATGTTCAAGGCACTTGACAAATATCTCCTTTGAGCCTCACAACATCCCAGGGTGGATAGATACTACCCTTATTCTTTATTTAAAGTTGAGGAAACTGTCAGACATGAAGTAATTTGCTGGGTGTCACATAGCTTGTAAGCACCTGAGGCTAGATTTGAACTCAGATCTTCCTGACTCCAGGCCATGGGTTCTAGATGCCCACCTGACCTCTTAGCAGTCATAGAATCACAGATCTAAAACTGGAAGAGAAAACAAAGCCCATTCAGCCCACTCTCCTCACTTTGCAGAGGAGAAAACAGAGGGCCAGGAAAGGCCCAAGGTCATACTGGTAGTAAATGGCAGAAAGGATTTGAATCCAGGCCCTCAAGCCTGGGGGGAGTGTTCTTTCCACCTCCAAACACAATCTGTGATTTTAGTCTCTGAGATCTGGGACCTCTGAGACCCAGATAATTCCCATGATCCTCCCCTTCACTGGATATGTAGGTAGAGGCTGAGGATGACCAGGTCTGAGCCCAAATTCAGCTTGGATCAGCTCCTTGGGATTGATTTTCTGACAGAGCTAGCTCAAAAGTATGAAATGCCAGAAAAGACTGAGAAACTAGTC